CCTGGATTCTGGCCCTGCTCCCAATGTTGATTATGCATTTTGCTCTTGAATAATCTTTAGGTAAAATGCACAAGAAACATTGGGTATAAAACCCTGAGCTTGCTCCCTCCTTTTTGGCCTAATGACTGTTGCTTTCCATTTCTCCCAATGGTTCAACTTCAAAGGGACCGATGGATAATGCCCTCGACCTTGCATAAACTTTAAGCAGGATGGGGGCAGGGCTGTTACTGGGTTTCCCACCCATGGTTGGTTGCTACTCATGCCTAACATTTCCTTTGGCTATAAGTAGGTGGCTCCCTGTGTAGTCATTATGCCCACTGAAATAATTGGATGCACTTCTGCGGCAAGATGTGCGTGTCTGGCCAAGTAACTGTGTACGCTTAGAAGCTGAGATGGTGGAACAGGGTATATATAGTATAAGCTTCAGTTACTGTTTTGTACTAGGTAGAAATCTGCAGGTGTTAGTGGTGCATGGGCTCCGAGGGGAAGGATCCCGTTCCAAAACCAGCCTTGTAGCAACAGAGATGCTGTGTAGTAAAGCATCTGTCTTGGAAGTTAAAGACGGGCACTGGTGACTGCAGTCCAAAGGGTGGGTACCTGGCAGTGCTTATAACCATTTCTATTGAATAGCACCTTTTTTTCACCTACTTTTATCAAGGAGTTTTGTATCTAAAGAGTCAGCCAAACTTCACGGGGTATGCTACATGAATGCAGGAGGCCAGTGCCCTTGGACCATCTTTGCCATCTCTCTCATTGTTGCATGCATGCTCAATTTACAGTCTGCCTTTGATTGCAGCAACTTCCAATCTTTCCAAGCGCTTGTCTTCTCTGCCCACCATTTAAGTGATCGTTCCATGTCTTGTCCTCTGGAGTCTGTAACTCAGACCTGTGCAGAACGTAGCATGGAGGGGGGAAGCCTTTTGTTTCTCTTTTGGGCTTTGTGTTTTCCTTTCCTCCCTTTACCCGAGAATCCATGCTTACTCATTCAAACTGGTGGCATTGTGTGGGTGTCGCCAAAAGAGACTTTGCTCCATCCTGCAATTTAAATTCCTCCCTTGCCGTAAGGAAATCCAGAAAAACCTACAGCAGTGGTGCGGCGTGATCCAACCCCAAGTTCTGTAAGTGTTGCACCAAGTGTTGCTTCGAGACTGTCTGTTTTGTGGGTGGGGGAATAATGACTTGTAGATTTTGACTCAGTTCTTGCGAGCAAAATCGATAGAGATTCGGCTCTGCCTGCTGGGTTCCCGCCCAAGCAAACTCCTTTTCATTCTCTCCATGGACCCCGCTCCAGAACTCGGCTCGGTTTCTCGCAGTCTGCAGCTTCAGATAACACAATAACCATGTTCCAATGTATTAAACTTTTAACATCCTCAAGATTCAATTAATCTTATCTTTACAACTCCCAATTACAGGCACTAATTAAGTGAAAGTCGCATTGTGGACTAGGGATATTACATTAATCATCTGCAGCCTTGGAGCCATAAATTAGTTCTTTCCCAATCCTCTAGTGTTTTCCCAGAAGGAATGGAATGTTTCATTTCCCAGATTTTAGGGACATTAATCCCACAGAGGAGTTTGGGATCGGGATTAATTTTATCACGTTTATGTAAGTGATAAATGGCCACTTAAAAAGAAAAGCTCTACCGGCTTTGCCCAAGACGAATGGAATTGAATTGTTTGATAATTACACGATTTAAGGCCCTGTCACCACTTTGGTCAGCGAGTCTTGGGAGCATGTTGCTATACTTATCGTTTTTCCTGGGATTTATTTTTAACGTCAGTTTAAATCGGTTTAAAGGCTAAATCTTGAAGCACCTTTTGCAGGATTTCCTACTTTTGTCTGTGTTTGATTCTGCCCCTCCAGATCATTATGGGGAACTTCACTTTGGCTCACTACAAAGCGAGTGTGGGATGTGGCTTTCCCTGTTACTTCTTGCAGTCTGGGTACATTATCCTAGTGGTTTTAGAACTGAGGAGCAGTACCCAGGGGCTGACCTATAGATATATCACACGCACGGTGTACTGGAGAGGTTTTGCACACAGAGCTGGTAGCTCTACCGGTTGATGAGGCTTTCCAACGTGTCTGATTCTTAGATTGTAAGGGGCCGGAAGGGACCTCGGAAGATCATCGGGTCCAGCCCCCCTGCACCAAGCAGGAAAGACAACTGGGGTCCAGTGACCCCAGCAAAGTGCCCGTCCAGTCTCCTTTTGAAGATGAGACCCTGTTTTCAGCTTCCTAAAAATCTGCCAAGCGTAAACTTTTTGGCTGAAACTTTCCATGCAGGGTTACCTGTCTTAAGCATTTTAAGGTAAATTGCAGTCAAAATGGCTTAGCCAAAGTAGATAGTATTCCTGAGCGTTAAGCCATAGGGCATTGTTTTGCCTGGGCTTTAATAAAATCGAATCTGCCTGCCTTTCTTTGAGTAGCTCTTTCGCCCGTGTGCTTTGGAGCAAAGACATTTAGCATGTGTGCGTATGTCAGAGAGAGACTTCCTGTGAAGAAACCTTCCAGATCTGATCATAGAAACATAGAAAATGAGGGTTGAAGGGCCCTTAGGAGGTCACATCTAATCCAGCCCCCTGTTCAAAGCAGGACCAGCCCCAACTACATCATCCCAGCCAAAGTTTTGTCAAGACAGGTCTTAAAAACCTCCAAGGATGGAGAGTCCACCACCTCTCTGGGGAACCTGTTCCAGTGTTTTACTACCCTCCTAGTGAGAAAATTGTTCCTAATATCTAACCTAAACTTCCCTTGCTGCAACTTGAGCCCATTGCTCCTTCTGTCATCTGCCCCCACTGAGAACATTGCAGCTCCGTCCTCTTTGCACCCCCCTGCAGGGAGTTGAAGGCTGCTATTAAATCCCCCCCCCCGCCCAGGCTCCTCTTCTCCAGGCTAAATAAGCCCAGGCCCCTCATCCTGTCCTCATAAGTCATGTCCCACAGCCCCCCAGCCATTTTCATTGCCCTCCGCTGGACTCTCTCCAACTTGTCCACCTCCTTTCTGTAGTGGGGGCCCAAAACTGGACACAGTGCTCCAGATGTGGTCTCACTAGTGCAGAGTAGAGGGGAATAATCACTTCCCTCGATCTGCTGATCCAACTGTAATGAAAAATTTCAGCTTCTGCTCAGCAGATGCTTTCTGGAATTAACAGTAAAGAGCTCCAAAGATGATATCAGCAATGAGTAGTCTTTTTCTCAAGATGAGCAAGAGTTTTCCTGGATTTGCAGCTTGTGGGTCTGGTGGCCTGTATTCGTCCAGACACTGGGAGCGAGAAGAAGGAAGCAGGCTCTCCTAGGCGCTCACTGTAGACATCTAGGTAGTGCGGACGAGAAAGCTGGTTGCATGAGCTCTTGTCTCATTGTGACTGAAGGGGCTAGGGGTGATGATGATGATGAGTTGGGACAAGAAATTATTTTGTGGGGAGGAGAGGTAGGCTGTTGGTAGGTAGGAAACCTGGGAACTGGTTTAGTGGGGCTTTTATAGGGGGTCAGGGGATTAGGAGGCAGTGGGTGTTTGGTGGAGAGGCAGAGATTAGATGAGGATCAGGAGGGGAGAACTGGGTATGCCGAGCAGGGTGGGTGGGAGTGGTAGGGACTGGGAATGGCTCAGCAAATGGAGTGAGATTGGGGTGAGAAGCCCAAATATTGGAATGGAGACTGGGATTAGGGTGGGAAGTGGGAATGGAGAAGGAATGGTACTGGGATACAGACGGGCTGGAAGGAGGAGGGTCAAGCTTGTGGGGAGTGGACAAAAGAGTCTGCCTTAATTAAACTATGTTGCCATCCCCTCCTGAATGGAGCCCAAGTTTCCTGACTCCTCATTCTGATACCAACATCTGTGACGCTTGCTGGCAGATTATTTTATTCCCTTTTTATTTCTAGTCCATGCAGAGGCTGGTATTTTGTGCCTGCTTTTATTTAATCTGTTCAAGTACTAAAGGTCTGACTGGTTCTCTAGGTCCCAACTCCTGCTGCTGACCCATGCGGATGTTGGTTTGATGCCATATGAGGCAATTTATATTTTTTATCATTTTGCTTTTTTGTCACCCCAGGCAGCGGACATGCATGCTGTGTTCAAAGGTTAAAAAGTCAAGCCCGAGAAAATTAAAATCCCAGAATTAAGGTTGCCTGCATATCAAGTACTTATTTTGTTGCCCTCTGTCTTTTTATTTTATTTTATTTTTCTAGGAGGGAAGATGGACTGTTTGTCTGTACCATGGAGAAAGGTCTATTTGTCACTCAATGAGCTTGTGAAGCGTGTAGTCCTAGATTATCTTGCCAAAGGAAAAGGCACTTATAACAGATTCATCCTTTTTCATGTTTGGATTTTGTGGGTTTTATAACCCTTGAGATCCCTCAGCAATATCTTGGAAGAAAAACAGGCATGTGAATTATTGGGTTCCTGTCCCATATGTTCTGCTGAACTTTTAATGAAGTTGCTTTTGTTTAGTGCCTAGATACTCCTTTGATTAAGGCTGTATAAATATATAAAATAATTTCATCAAGAACTTCTTATCTGCTAAGTTTCAGTGCAACCTCCCGGTTTTATCTTGTACGCATCTTTCCTGATGGGAAAAAAAAGTTTAATTCATTCTCCATACTACTTTACTCCTGGGTTTCCCTGTGCTGCATTACCATATTGCCTCATTAAACATCCTTTTAAAATCTTTCCCTTCTAGCTCATGATTCACTCTGTGTGAAGTCTTCTGATGCTGTAGCACATGAAAATAACACAGAAAAATAAAACCCATTGTGCGAAGCACTCAAGGACTTCAGCTTCTCCAAAATAAAATTTTGGTTTTTTTCCTTGCATTGTAATGATTTTAATTGATACCGTTAACATTTTCTGAAATTTTGGGGTTCTACTTCTAGCTGTCAGCAAATTGTTGGTGTTGTGCTACACTCCCTCCTACCTGCAGTTATTTAAATCTCAGTTCTTGGGGTTTTTTTAATTTGTGATGCCGTATTTTTTTTCTGATGCATGTAAATTGTTTCCCTAGGTATGCCATACCCCCGGAGCATGGCAAGCGGCTGGAGCGCCTGGCAAAAGGTATGCTCACCTGCCCACTTTGCTCATGTTGCTTCTGTTCAGACAAACGTGTGGATATGTGTAATGAACACTGTAGCATCCCTGGGATGAGTCGCACCCTTGATTTTTAAATTGACTCGCGTAGAGTTGCTACAGACCCGGTTGCTATAATTTGCTCTTGCTAGAGGTACCTGATGAATCTACACTGAGTGCATTAGCCCCACAGCCAGAGACCTTGTCATCTTGTCAGCAGCGCTGTAAACAGTTGCTGCTGGTACAGGTGGCTTCTCAAAGCCTCGGTCTCCTGACACACCAAGGCCAGGCTAAAATAGATGGAAAAACTTTCATTTTGAGATGTTAAGACCAAACCATGGAGCTGTCCTGGGAACGAATTCAATAAGAGACCCACCATGCCTCTCCGCATGCAATACACGGCTTGTTAAGGCCCGTTGCAATGAGATGAGCTCTACTGATCCCTTTGTTTGGAGGGCCAGCTCCTGGGCCGCTGTGAAGCTTTCCTTCCTCGCTGTGCTTTGTGCAGCCTTTGAAAGAGGGAACCTTGTAATTATTTGTGCTTCCCTCCTTATAAATCTGTTAAATACAGACAGCATTTGTATTGATTACCGCTGAACAGTTTTCATTAAAAAAAAAAAAATGCTTAGAAACTCAATAATGGTGGATACAGGGATCATAATTATGGGAATTCTCTATTCCCAGTGTGTACATTGTCTTTGGTAGTAGTCCTCTTATACGGGGGCTCTGTAGTCTGATTATTTCTCTTGCTTCCCCTTGCCTTACAGTTAACCATGGTTAGAAAGGAGACATAGCTCCGAGGCCAGTGGAGCAGTGGGACACTTCCTGCCCTTTAAGGATCTTTCCTATTCTAGAGTCATTTTATTCTTTTTGATGAAGCAG